ACCTCTCACTGCGTCTTGCACGCTAATGACAACCAAACACTATCAACTCCCTATAAGTAATCCACCAGAACTTCCCCTTCCACCTCTGGAAGTTCACTACCCTAATATCTTTAGGTTCTTCCGGGCTTCACTACCAGGATCCTCTGCAGCTCCTCCAGGCTGCTATCATGAAGTTTCCTTGAGCAACTACGGTGCTTCACCCTTCTGCTAGGTTCCTCCACAGCTCTCTTGGCTGCTACACCACCTCTACAGAAGCACGTGACACTCCTCTTCACTGCTTCTCCTCACAGCTCGAGGTCCTCTGCTTCACTACCTTGTAGTCTCATCAATTACTTCATCTATGCTGGCTTCGAAGTTCTCAGCAACTTCTTCCCCAAAGACAAACCTGCAACCCATCGACACTCCAATAAAATTGTTTCCCCTTTAACACATAAACAAAAATAACCACACAATATGCTTGCCTCAAACCTCTATCTGTCCTCTACATACAGTGAGAGCGGACTCCCCCGTTTTGGGCGGGTCCATACTCCACCTCGCCTGGTGGCGGTCCTCACTCGCTGGGAGGGTCTTCCTCCGTCAGGAGCCGGGCTCCCTCAGTCGTCCGTCAGAGCTCAGAGGGGACGGACGTCGCTCCGTGCTCCTCCCTCTTCACTCTCCTATTTCAGGCTTTCTGCCTTATTAAAACATGTCTAACTTATAAATAAACATTGCTACTGTCGCTGGGCACACGACCAACTACAAGCAATCACTATGAACTGGCGTATATCGTGCTTACCACAGATTAAATGGTCGAGGGCGCTTTCCCTCTGACGGCGTCTGGTCAGGGCGCTCCACACAGCCCACAAAAATGCCTCTGAGCAGCTTATTAAACTCTCCTCGCCGTCCAAAACTTGACACCACAACGTTCTCAGCTCAATTCCACAGCTGGCACGTCTGCGCACTTCTCTTCTCTTAGAGATATATCACTAGGGGTTCCCTTCTGACGGGAGCTCAAACGGAGCGCGGCTTCCCCCTGCGATGTCTGGCACTCAAGTGAGGTCAAGGTCCTCCGGAAGCGAGCCTCACGCCTCCAGCAAAATGTCCACATCTCCTAGCCAGTCATTTATCTATTTTCTTCTGCATTGCCCATAATCTCAAACTGTTATACATATCCAAGCAACTATTTTACATATGCGTTATCACCTCAATATTTGCTAGACCTTCTAATCAGGTCAGGCTTGATGAATAACTCTCAAGGAGGGAGACTCGTTTCTCCTGTAGGCTGAGATCATAACAAAATGTAATAAGTTTTACGAAACGCGTTCAAGTGTCGCGTCAGACTAGAAATAAAAATGAATTTTGGAGAATTGATTTTTCAGTTACCATCAACAGTGAAAAGAAATATAAGAAAGATAGAGAAAATTCGTGTTAGAATTATTAATCTTACTTTTTCGGTCATATTTAATAATAATAATAATAATAATATATATATATATATATATATATATATATATATATATATATATATATATATATATATATATATATATATATATATATATATATATATATATATATATATATCTTTTGTTACCGTTCTGATAGCAGATTTTTACTGGGTGATGATAGGCTTGAGGTAGTTTGCAATGGCTGAACCCCCATGCACATATATCGTAGTATATAAGATAGGGATAGACTAGCGCGTAGTATAATGAGAGGAGAGCCGAGTTTGGAGCATAATATTTGATTTTAGAAAGTATACCCACCGTTTTTTGAGACTTTCTTGGTTATGTGTTGTATGTGGGTGTTGAAGTTGAGTCTCTTGTCTATGTGAAGGTCAAGGAACTTTCCATCATTTTTATTGCTGATGTTAACATTGTCTATCTGAAGCTGAATTGCATTTGTTGATTTGCTTCCAAACAAAACGTTGTAGGTCTTTTATATGTTTAGACAGATGTTTGTTGGTTGACATCCATGAGTGGATTTTTGTAATTTGTTATTTACAACATTATTTAGTGTGTGTGGGTTGGGGTCAAAGTATTTGTGGGTAATATCGTCAGAAAACAATATAGGTGTAAGAATGTTAGAGTTGTTGTTGTTGTTAAAGATTCGCTACCTGGAACAAAAAGTTCCAAGTAACACGGGCTATGGTGAGCCCGTAGATAGTTATAATGTTAGACAGTAGGAAGATCATTGATGTATGTAAGAAATAGAAGAGGTCCTAGGATGCTGCCTTGTGGCACTCCAACGGTTATTGGTAGAGTGGGAGAGGTTAAATCATTGATGGCTACATATTGGTGTCTGTCACTAAGATAGGATCGGACATAGTTCAGAGCAAGGCCTCGGATTCCATAATGGTGGAGTTTAAGTAAGAGGTAGTTGTGATTAACAGTATCAAAGGCCTTTCTCAGGTCAATGAAGAGTCCAATCGGAAACTCTTTTGGGATCGGAAGCCAAACTGACAGGGAGTTAGTATTTTTTTTTTTTTTTTGCAGGGATATTCCTGCGCGGGCCCTAAGCCTCTGGCTGGCCCACTAAGTGTTGCTTGTTTCTGTTTTACTTGGGTGGAGTATGAGTATTTATGACTCGTATGGTCGCTTCAGTAAGATTTTGCCATATGTGTTTAACAACTTCTTCTGCTCTGTTGAATCTAAGTTGAAATCTTAATGGGTTTGTAACTGTGCACTGTGTTAGATAATATTCCAGTGGTCTGTCGGGCATTTCTCCACAGTGCTGACATTTCCTCTCATCTTCCGGAACCTGTAAGCCTATTTCCCATATACATTGGTATCCAAGCCTGATGCGATGTAAGTGTACTTCTGTTGCTCTACTGCTCCCTTTCATCAAACTAAGTGGTTCGTAGTTGGTTGAATTCTTGTACCAACCCGCAGATCCTGATGTTGCAACTGCTGTGTTGTGGTCACTGTACATCTTTTGCATTGCTCTGTTTCTAATTACTTTCTTAATCTGTGATAGACTCTGTGGTATGCAAATGTCTACATTTCTTCTCTTAGTTGCAAGTTTTGCAGCTTCGTCTGCAATGTCATTTCCTATTATTCCCACATGACTTGGCACCCAGTTGATAAGTACCCGTCGATCTTGTCGTTTGAGTGTTTGCATTAATGATATGACATTTGTGATCAGATGGATGTTATCACATATGTGTTCTTGTTGCAAGGTTTCAATGGCGGTTCTCGAATCTGTATGTATGATAACATGTTGTCGGTGTTCAGCAAGAGCATGTTCCAAAGCCTTTTGAATGGCTAGCATCTCTGTTTGTAAAGTCGAACACCCATTTGAGAGTCTCCAACTATTTACAGAGTTTCCTGCTTTAACTGCAGCTCCGGTTTCTTGTCCCTGCTGGTCTACTGATCCATCTGTGAAGTAAGTGAAGCTGTCGGATGCCATGTTTGCTTCTATATGCATCTGTGCAATGTTACGTAGCAGATGAGGATTTGTCTGGTTCTTTTTCCTTCAATAACCATAATCGTAAAGTCTGCTGGTGGAGATTCCCAAGGGGCTTGCATAACAAAGTCTGCATGTATTTCGTCGACACCCTTCTCAGTGACTGTGTTTGTTATATCAAATGTATTGATGGTGTTTATCGCACAATGGGTCCACCTGTTGCTATTGGAGGCTCTTCTGTCCAGAGTTAGTGCTCCAGTGATTATATCTTTAAGTGAACTGATTCTAGGTCTAGTCAATATCTTGGTCAGCATGCACGCAGCGATCATTTTTACCCTTATTTCAATCTTGAATAATACGAGGTAGGAGTAGAGCTGTTTGTAAATATTTTTTTTTAATATTTTTGATAATATAGGTAGATTTGATATTGGCCTGTAATTGTTTATGTCTGCTGGATTACCTCCTTTATGAACTGGCATTACTATTGCTTTTTTTAAGGATATCAGGGAAGGTGTGACACTCAAGGGATTTGTTGAACAGCAGAGCTATAGGTGGCGCAAGGGCATGAGAGGCGCTCTTGTATACCATGGATGGTATTTCACTGATGTTCCCAGCTTTAGTTTTTAGTGAGTGTATGATGGACAGAACATCTGTAGGACTGATTGGTGAGAGGAGAAGAGAGTCTGGATAGCTGCCTGAGAGATATGTATTAACATGTGTCTGAGTCTGTGGGATTTTTCTGGCAAGGTTAGCACCAACCGATGAAAAGAAGCTATTAAATTCAGTTGCCGTTTTATATACTTTTATATACAATATATATACTGAGAAGTTAGGAACTTTTATGAATGAGAGAGAGAGCATTACTCAACCAATAGAGCGAAAGATAGCGGTTATAGGCTGATTGTAACCTATCCACCGCTGCCCACTGGATGGGGAGCGGTGTGCAGGACAAATATATCAATTGTGACACTAGCTCTCCACATATGTCAGTTGCTTAACTTAAAAACTGTATCTGTGCTCGGTCACTATTAATGAAAACTATCATTGAAAACCCGGAACGCAACCCACAACAGCTGCCTGGAACTCCCGGGTACCTATTTACTGCTGGGTGAACGGGTGCATTAGGTGAAAGGAAACGTGGTTATAACGTCTTGCTCCGCCAGAAATTTATGTGCAGTTGTGCGCCAAGTGTGTCGTGGTGGTGCAGAACTGTGAGGCTTTGGTAAGTTAAACTGAGATGCATTTACAGGTTAAACTGGGAGGCAGTTATGAGTTTACAAGTTACAAATATTTCCATGTTAAAACTATTTACACGTTAAACCCTTTGCATGTTAAAACAATTTACATATTAAAACAATTTACAAGTTAAAACCATTTACATATTAATTCATTTTACAAGTTAAAACCATTTACACATTAAATTTACAAGTTAAAACCATTTACATATTAAAACTTACAGGTTCAAACAATGGGTTGGGATAATACGAATGGAAATTCTTAATATACTACATAATAAATGGGATAAATGAAGATAGTGGAGATGGAGAGAGAAGGGAGGAGGTCCTACCAGAGGTCAGAGTGCGAGGCGTGAGAGGCGAGACTCCCTACTGGCCTACCTGCTGAAGAGGCCCATGTGGCCGTCGCTGGTGTAGAAGGCCAGGAACTCGTTCGATACCCAGTCCTTGTGGACGGAGGACCGGATCGCGTTCTTGAAGAAGGCGTCCGGCTGCCAGATGTTCTCCAGGAACTGTAACAGACCGTTACAAGATGTTCTTAAAGTTTAAACTTTGGAAGCCGTTACAAGATGTTTTTAAAGTTTAAACTTTGGAAGCCGTTACTAGATGTTTTTAAAGTTTAAACTTTGGAAGCCGTTACTAGATGTTCTTAAAGTTTAAACTTTATATACTGTTGGTTTATTCAACAGTTAAAGAGCTCCGAAGCGCTTCAAGGTTGTCCACAGCAATAATAACCTCGGGTTGTGAAGGTTGGAAGCTCGAAAACTGTTCAATAAATACAGACCAGGCCGCCATGGTTGAGGAAAGATGTACAGGCTTCGTAATTTGACATAAATGCTGGTTGAATATTGGCCGTGTTCCCTGTACAGTGTCGTACATGATGGTTGACATTATGGTGAGCCATAGGCGGGAACCCTGGCACGCTTAACCAACATATACCATGCAACATTGTTTAGAAATCTAAATCATGACTTCTTCAAGACAATCTACACAACCCTAGAGGATGCAAGGAGCGGAGGGGACATGATCACAACATACAAGATACTGAGGGGGAATAGATAAGATGGACAAGGACAGCCTCTTCAAATTGAAAGTAAATAGGACCAGAGGTCACAGTTGGGAGCTGGAAACCCCAAGATAGTCGAAGATATGTAAGGAAATACTTATCCTCTGTACGGGTAGTTAACACGTGGATCACAGTGAAAGAACAAGTTGTGGAAGCCACCTCCATCCACAAGACAAGATTCGACAAAGAGTTTGAAGGTCAGAATAGTTAAAGTGTGCGGTAACAAGGACGACCAGGGTGGTAGGCGAGGCACAGAGAGCTAGACCTCACTCCTAGTGGATACTGTATGGTGAGTACAGCCATAGACAGTACACAGAGAGACAGAGACAGACAAACACAGCTACACACAGAGACAGCCATGCTCATACCACAGAGACACAGCCACAGAGACAGACAGGAGTACTAACCTTGACGGGAAGGATGAGGCGCCGGCTGGAGGGAGGACTGCTGCTCACACATCTGGGGATGACGGCTGTGTAGTTCCCCGTACACACCTGCAAGTTAGCGTGGAGTCAGTTGTGCACCGTCTGGCGCCAGATGTGGGCCGTCTGGCGCCAGGTGTGGGCCGTCTGGTACCAAATGTGGGCCGTCTGGCGCCAGATGTGGGCCGTCTGGCACCAGATGTGGGCCGTCTGGCGCCAGGTGTGGGCCGTCTGGCGCCAGGTGTGGGCCGTCTGGTGCCAGGTGTGGGCCGTCTGGCGCCAGATGTGGGCCGTCTGGTGCCAGATGTGGGCCGTCTGGCGCCAGATGTGGGCCGTCTGGCACCAGATGTGGGCCGTCTGGCGCCAGGTGTGGGCCGTCTGGCGCCAGGTGTGGGCCGTCTGGTGCCAGGTGTGGGCCGTCTGGCGCCAGGTGTGGGCCGTCTGGTGCCAGGTGTGGGCCGTCTGGCGCCAGGTGTGGGCCGTCTGGCGCCAGATGTGGGCCGTCTGGCACCAGATGTGGGCCGTCTGGCGCCAGGTGTGGGCCGTCTGGCGCCAGGTGTGGGCCGTCTGGTGCCAGGTGTGGGCCGTCTGGCGCCAGATGTGGGCCGTCTGGTGCCAGGTGTGGGCCGTCTGGTGCCAGGTGTGGGCCGTCTGGCACCAGATCAAAATACATAATATTACATAAATTTAGTTTTAGGTTCTTGTAATAAATATTGAAGAGTGAAGGAGACCGGTAATGTGTCTAATATTATTATTATTATAAACACAACTGATACTATAGTAGTGTAGTAGTCATTTTACTACTGATAGTACACAAGTTTCTACTAAAGGTAGTGCTAAACTAGCATATGTACTAGTAGTACATATGTTAGTTCATGTACTAGTGTTAGTACATAAGTTAGTAGTGTTAGTAGTCCATAGTGGTCAAGATGCTACTAGCCTTGTTATACATGTACTAGTACTCTAGTACTAGTAGGCATGCGTCTCAAATAGCCTCTGACAACCAAGTCCAACTCCTGGCCTGCACGGGTGGCTTAGTCTAAGTCCGGCGGAACTGCTTTTACCGACAGGAGAAGGGGCGAGGGCGTGCCTCTGGCGCCTTAAAACCAGCTGCTCCGGGTAGATGGGACTCGATAGCCTGGGAAGGCAGCCCATCTAGGGGGAAGGAAAACCCTGATTTTAAACTTCCGCTGCCTTGCGGCCATACCCTTGTTTTTGGGAAGGCTTCAGGAGTCAACCTCGAGGAAAAATCCGGAGTTGGAGCCCCTAAGGCAGTTCGTTGTTGACGTCGACCTCGTTCTGGCAGCTCCTGCGACGTTGCTGGAACCATGCGTATTGGCATTTGCCTCTCTATTGGATAATTTCAGCAACGTGGAGAGGGGGGACCTTCTGCATGAGTAACAACTTCTCCTCCATAACTACCTACCCAGGCTTTGCGCCCTGGAGAGGACACTCCAGCTTCGCCTCACAGCGTCGAACCAACACGGGAAGCGACAGTCTACCGGTTTTAAGTCTTCTGCTCGATTGGCGAAGAGTGTGACGCCAGGGGTTGCTTCCGACGGTGGGAGGGGTCATCGCGCCCCACTGGGCAGCTACCGCCCGCCTCAAGCTGGGCAAACCCCAGCCAATAAGGTGTTGCCTCGCCACGGTCCGTTAACCTCACTGGGTGCGTGGGGTTTAGGGTGAAAACTGACAAGCGGCCCGACAACTTTGCACCAAGCAATACCAAACCAAAGAAGAAAATATCAACTGCCCTAAAGCTGGGCACATGGAACGTCAGGACACTGACACCAGGTTTCTCTGACGACCTGCAAGAAATCAATGACGCCCGAAAAACAGCAATCATCGATAGGGAGCTGAGCAAGCTGCAGATGGATATTGTTGCTCTCCAAGAGACCAGGCTCCCAGGATCAGGATCTGTGAGAGAGAGGACCTTCTCTTTCTTCTGGCAAGGAAAACCTCCAGATGAGACCAGAGAACATGGTGTGGGATTTGCCGTCAGGAATGCACTGTTGGGACACATTATGCCACCGATGGGGGAAACCGAACGAATTCTGTCTCTGCAACTGTACTCCCAAACAGGACCAGTCAATGTAATTAGTGCATATGCACCAACCCTGACTTCTCCAGCAGAGGCAAAGGAAAAATTCTACGATGACCTCAACAGAGTCATAGCGAGAATCCCTGTAAAGGAGCCACTGTTCATCCTCGGCGACTTCAACGCCAGAGTGGGTGCCGAGCACAACATTTGGCCCACTTGCCTGGGTCAATTCGGCATAGGAAGGATGAATGAGAACGGGCAACGTCTGCTAGAACTCTGCTGCCTTCATGGTCTTTGTGTCACCAACACGTTCTTCGGCACAAAGCCTCAACACCGAGTATCTTGGAGACACCCCAGATCCAAGCACTGGCACCAGCTTGACCTGATTCTTACCAGGCGTGCAAGTCTACCCAGCGTCAAGATTACGCGTAGCTACCAGAGTGCTGTCTGTGACACCGACCACTCCCTGGTATGTAGCAGGGTCAAGATGCAACCAAAGAAGATTCATCACTCGAAAAAGGCGGGCAGACCTCGCATCGACACCACCAAGACCCGCAACCAGGACAAGGTGGAAGATTTTGCACACGTGCTCGAGGAAGCTCTTCCTGGCCCAGCTGGGGTCACTGCCTGTAAAAGATGGGAGCACTTCAGAGACACTGTGTTCAACGCTGCCATTTCCACCTTTGGCAAGAAGACCAGCAGGTCGGCAGACTGGTTCGAGGCTCACTCGGAAGAGATGACACCTGTAATTGAAGAGAAGAGAAACGCCTTGGCAGCCTACAAAGCTTGCCCAAGTCGGCGCAACTTACAGATCCTTCGGGCCGTCCGCTGCAAAGTGCAGCAGAGCGCCAGGCGATGTGCCAACAACTATTGGCTCCAGCTCTGCTCCCAGATACAGACTGCAGCGGATACAGGCAATGTAAGGGGAATGTATGACGGCATCAAGCAGGCCCTCGGCCCAATCCAGAAGAAGACCGCTCCTCTGAAATCTGCCACTGGCGAGGTGATTCAGGACCAGACACTGCAGCTGAAGCGCTGGGTCGAGCACTACTCTGAGCTATACGCCAGGGACAATGTGGTCACCGAAGATGCCCTGAGCGCCATTGAGTGTCTGCCTGTGTTAATGGAGCTCGACAGTGAACCGACCCTGGAAGAACTCAGCGATGCCCTAGACTCCCTTGCTTCTGGTAAAGCTCCTGGCAAAGATGGCATTCCTGCTGAGACCTTGAAGTGCTGCAGAGGTAGCCTGCTCATGGAGCTGCACGAAATTCTCTGCCTCTGCTGGGAAGAAGGAGAGGTGCCACAGGACATGAGGGATGCCAACATCGTCACACTGTATAAGAATAAAGGTGACAGGGGCGACTGCAACAACTACCGTGGAATCTCCCTCCTCAGTATTGTCGGAAAGCTGTTTGCTCGAGTCGCATTGAAGAGGCTCCAAGTACTTGCAGAGAGAGTTTATCCAGAATCACAATGTGGATTCAGAGCTGGCAGGTCCACCATCGACATGGTCTTTTCCCTCAGACAACTGCAGGAGAAATGCAGGGAACAGAAGCAGCCACTCTTTGTAGCCTTCATAGACCTGACGAAGGCCTTCGACCTCGTCAGCAGGGATGGCCTGTTCAAGATCCTCCCCAAGATCGGATGCCCACCCAGGCTCCTCAGCATCATCAGATCTTTCCATGAGAACATGAGGGGCACCGTGGTCTTTGATGGCCTAACATCAGGCGCCTTTGACATCCGAAGTGGAGTAAAGCAAGGCTGCGTACTGGCTCCAACCCTATTCGGGATTTTCTTCGCAGTTATGCTGCGGCTCGCCTTCGGATCTGTCACGGAAGGCATTTACCTCCGGACCAGGTCGGATGGGAAGCTCTTTAACCTCGCCAGGCTGAGAGCCAAGACAAAGGTTCGGCTGAGGTGTCTGCGCGACTTCCTCTTTGCCGACGACGCAGCAGTCACTGCCCACTCAACTGAAGACCTCCAACGGCTCATAACCCGCTTCAGCGAGGCCTCTCAGGCTTTCGGACTCACCATCAGTCTGAAGAAAACACAAGTCATGGGACAAGGAGTGGACTCCCCACCTGACATCGGCATCTCTGATTCCAAACTGGAAGTTGTTCACGACTTCGTGTACCTGGGCTCCACAATCTCTGACTCCCTCTCTCTTGATACGGAGCTAAACAAACGCATCGGTAAGGCATCTACTACCATGTCCAAACTGACAAAGAGAGTGTGGGCCAACAATAGGCTAACTGAGTATACTAAGATTCAGGTTTACAGATCCTGTGTCCTGAGCACTCTCCTTTATGGCAGTGAGTCTTGGACACTCCGCGCCCGTCAGGAAAGACGGCTGAATGCCTACCACATGCGCTGCCTTCGACACATCTTGGACATCACCTGGCAGGACAAGGTGACAAACAACAACGTCTTGGGGAGAGCAAGAATCACCAGCATGTACACAATGCTGAAACAGAGACGAATGCGCTGGCTCGGGCACGTTGTGCGAATGGGCGACGGCAGGATCCCCAAGGATCTCCTGTATGGAGAGCTGAGGCAGGGAAAGCGTCCAGTAGGCAAGCCCCAGCTACGGTACAAAGACGTATGCAAAAGGGACCTGAAAGCCATGGACGTCGATCTTGCTATATGGGAGACACTGGCTACAGACCGTTCAGCCTGGAGGCAGTCTGTTCAACGAGGTCTCTCCAAGTTCGAGGAGTCACTTGCCAAGGAATCGGAGGCAAAGAGACAGAGAAGGAAAGCCGGTAACCAGGAAGACAGACCAGAATCGGACTTCGTTTGTGCTCGGTGTGGGATGGACTGCCACTCTCGGATTGGCCTCATCAGTCACACCAGACGCTGCACCAGGATTGACAACTAGGGCGCAACTCCATAGTCTCCCGAGACTGAAGGATGCCTACTATAGTACTCTAGTCTAACGACCAGGGCCAAGAGTCATGAAGACTTCACACACTTACGAAGCCTCTACATCTTTGCTCCATCACGGCAGCCGGGTCTGGACTCATTAAACAGTTGACGAGCGTCCAAACGTCACAACCCGAAGTTGTTACCATCGTAACAACCTTGTGACGCCTCGTAACTCTTCAATTGTTGAATAAAGGCACAGCCGCCATCACTTACCCGAGAGCCACTAACCATAGTGGCCTCCACGAGGTCAGGAAGCCGACGGCTTGTCGAAGGTCCGCCCATTTGCCATAATCTTTTCCAGGTGTTCTTTAAGTTAAGAGAGTTTTGTCATTTACGGGTTGGGCGGGTAGGCGGTTCCGTGGGTTAATAACCGTGTGGGTGAAGAAGCATCTGGTGTTGTCAGTCCAACATTGTAGCGTGTTGGACATGAACCCGTTGTTCCTTGTTTGTGTTACATCTGACCTTCTGAACAAGTTGTCCGGCTCAACGTCCTCCAAACTGTTCACTATTGTAAAAGTTTCAATAAGATCCTCCCTGTCATGCCTGGTTTATAGTGTTGTTAGCCCTGTGGCACTCAACTATTCTTGGTACGTCAGTTGACTTAGCTATGAAATGACTTTTGTTGCCCGGTGTTGCACCTTCTCCAGAGCAGCTATATCCTTCTGAAGATGAGGTCCTCAGTCGATTAAGGCAGTTTTTTTTTATTATTATTATTTTCTACCACAAACGTGGCCACACATTTACAATGCTAACCAGCATATATACATTTTCTTCTGTCCTCCATAGACACGGTTAGAGATCAGTTAAGGCAGTGTCTGGGATGCTCCAGGACGCAGGTTCGAATCCTCGTCACGGCCCTTGTGGATTTGTTCATGAGGTTTCAATAATCCAGGCTGGGGCGCGCCTGAGATTTATACAATTGAATCACTTCCTTCTTGTCCTTGAAGTCAAAGGCACTCTTAAATATTTTAAGTGTTTGGTTAGCTTTCTTGACCGCTGCCCCAACCTGTTGTGTACCTCACTGAGTGGAGGATCTTGACTCCAAGGTCCTGTTCTTGGTCAGTCTGCTGTAATGTTGTGTGTTTACTAATGACGAAGCATTTGTCAGTCATCTGATCATCTGTGGAGTTCATGTAGAGTTCTCTTTACATGGTTTCAATATCATAATTGATATTGAGCATGTGATAGACACATATGAGAGACACACACGAGAGACACATAAGACACACATGAGAGACACACATGAGAGACACATATGAGAGACACACATGAGAGACACACATGAGAGACACATATGAGAGACACATATGAGAGACACGTGAGAGCAACATAACATATAAGAGACCTGTGAGAAGCGGAGAGGTTTGGTGATGTTGAGAGGCGGAGGGTTCCAGCAGGGGTCGAGGTCCGGGCGGTCGAGGGGCCAGTGTATCCTCCAGTCCTTCCAGCGGTACGTCACGAACGACTCCACGCTGAAGGTCTGTAGGGGTGAGACACACACACACTCTCTCAACACCTACACTTTATGTGTGTACCTCACTACTGCTGCCTCTGTTATCATCACCACCACAGTTGTCATCACCACTACCACTACCACCACCACCACCACTTCACCAATACCACTACACCACCACCACTACCACACTACCACCACCACTACCACACCACCACTACCACACCACCACTACCACCACACCACACCACCACCACCACACCACACCACCACTACCACAGTACACTACCACACCACCACACCACCACTACCACACCACCACTACCACCACACCACACCACCACTACCACCACACCACACCACACCACCACTACCACAGTACACTACCACACCACCACACAACCACACCACCACCACACCACACCACCACCACCACTACACCACCTCCACCATGCCCATTTACATAATACAAGCACTTCAACCACCTGTAGTTGACTGCTCAACAAGCCACTCACCGCATGATACCAAACAGTCCTCTAGCCCCGTCCACAGAGGACACAAGACAATGTATACATGCTGGTCACCATTATATAAATGTCTGGCAACCTCTGTCCTATATTATAAACCTAAAAACACAATAAAAATAATTATGAGAGAGTACTAGGCCAGTAAGGGTATACATCACTGGGAAGGGATACGAGGACAAGGAGCTGGGATATGAGGACGGAGGGAAGGTGCCCAACCACTTGGACCATCGGGGGCTCGAACCCCTGACGTGGAAGAAGCGAGGTCGTCCCTGTACCGAGGAGGCCAAGTGGTTGGGCTCAGTACTGACCATGTCGTTCTCATTGATGGAGCTAATATCAAGGAGCTTCATGTCGAAGTAGACGATGGCGGGGTTGGTGTCGGTGGCCGGGGAGGTGTACTTGTCGTAGTAGAGCGGGATCATGGCCCTGTGGGAGTCCAGCCTCACCGAGCACTCGCTCCTCTCCTCACTCCTGTGGCAGCAACGTCCACCATCAGTCTCTTTACCTCACACCCAAATGTACTTACTAATAACTCAAATGCCATATAAGAAGCAGGTGTGGAAGCCACCTCCATCAACATATTTAAGGCAGAGTTGGAACGTCAGAAGGGTTATATTACACGGCAACAGGTACAACAACAACAGTAGATGGCGTACACAAAGCTAGTCCTCACTTCCCCGCCGTCACTCAGGTACAGGATGAAGGGAAGACACATTCTTCAACCAGATAACGTCTGTCCTCTTACAAATTGCCTCTGAACTTGTCCGTTTGTTCGTATGGCAAGAAAATGGACGTAATTTCAAAATGAAAAATAATTAAAAATAAATTTTGGCTTTGTTTTTTCCAAAACAGCAAGTTAAGGTTCCTCTGGTAGGTTAGGAGAGCAGGAAGTTCTCCTAAGGTTTCAAAACGTCATGAAAATCGTTATTTGAAGGTTAGCGACGTTGTTTTAAGTGGCCGGGTTGGAATAACAAGAGCTGTGTATGGCACAGGGGCCAACATTAGGGTATACTTCAGAAATCTGGAGAAAGGGGCTTTCCGGGGCCCAGTATACAACAAAGGTGAGACCCACACTTGACTATGCAGCCCCAGCATGGAACCCTTACCTGAACAAGAGCAAGGAGAAGCTACAATAAGTCTAGTGTATGCAACAAGACTCGTTCCTGAGTTGAAGGACTTAAGCTATGAGGGAATAGGACCATCACCACCGTCATCATCACCACCATCACCGCCGTCACCATCACCATCACCACCATCACCACCACCATCACCACCATCACCACCATCACCATCACCACCACCATCACCACCACCATCACCATCACCGCCGTCACCGTCACCATCACCACCGTCGTCACCATCAGCCGGAGAGCCTGTGGTGGCCCTAAGGGCCGGCCAGCTGTCACCATGGTGGTGCCATCGTCCCTGGTGCCTGGCCTCCATCACTCATTCTCCCCATTACGCTCCCCTCCACCACCTGGGGGGAGGGGAGGCTATGGCACGAGGGACACTATGGCAGACGGGACACTATGGCAGATGGGACACTATGGCAGACGGGACACTATGGTAGACGAGACACTATGGCAGACGGGACACTATGGCAGACGGGACACTATGGCAGACGGGACACTATGGCAGACGGGACACTATGGTAGACGAGACACTATGGCAGACGGGACACTATGGCAGACGGGACACTATGGCAGATGGGACACTATGGCAGACGGGACACTATGGTAGACGAGACACTATGGCAGACGGGACACTATGGCAGACGGGACACTATGGCAGACGGGACACTATGGCAGACGGGACACTATGGCAGACGGGACACTATGGTAGACGAGACACTATGGCAGATGGGACACTATGGCAGACGAGACACTATGGCAGATGGGACACTATGGCAGACGGGACACTATGGCAGACGGGACACTATGGCAGACGGGACACTATGGCAGACGGGACACTATGGCAGACGGGACACTATGGTAGACGAGACACTATGGCAGACGGGACACTATGGTAGACGAGACACTACGGCAGATGGGACACTATGGCAGACGGGACACTATGGCAGATGGGACACTATGGCAGACGAGACACTATGGCAGATGGGACACTATGGCAGACGAGACACTATGGCAGACGGGACACTATGGCAGATGGGACACTATGGCAGACGAGACACTATGGCAGATGGGACACTATGGCAGACGGGACACTATGGCAGACGGGACACTATGGCAGACGGGACACTATGGCAGACGGGACACTATGGCAGACGAGACACTATGGCAGATGGGACACTATGGCAGACGGGACACTATGGCAGACGGGACACTATGGCAGACGGGACACTATGGCAGACGGGAGACTATGGCAGACGAGACACTATGGCAGATGGGACACTATGGCAGACGAGACACTATGGCAGACGGGACACCATGGTAGACGAGACACTATGGCAGACGGGACACTATGGCAGACGAGACACTATGGCAGACGGGAGACTATGGCAGACGGGAGACTATGGCAGACGGGAGACTATGGCAGACGGGACACTATGGCAGACGGGAGACTATGGCAGATGGGAGACTATGGCAGACGGGAGACTATGGCAGATGGGACACTATGGCAGACGAGAGACTCTGGCAGATGGGACACTATGGCAGACGGGAGACTATGGCAGACGGGAGACTATGGCAGACGGGAGACTATGGCAGACGGGACACTATGGCAGACGGGACACTATGGCAGACGGGACACTATGGCAGACGGGAGACTATGGCAGACGGGAGACTATGGCAGACGGGAGACTATGGCAGACGGGAGACTATGGCAGACGGGACACTATGGCAGACGGGACACTATGGTAGACGAGACACTACGGCAGATGGGACACTATGGCAGACGAGACACTATGGCAGACGGGAGACTATGGCAGATGGGAGACTATGGCAGACGGGACACTATGGCAGATGGGACACTATGGCAGACGGGAGACAATGGCAGACGGGAGACTATGGCAGGAGGGAGACAATGGCAGACGGGACACTATGGCAGAGGGGAGACTATGGCAGATGGGACACTATGGCAGACGAGACACTATGGCAGATGGGACACTATGGCAGACGGGAGACTATGGCAGACGGGAGACTATGGCAGACGGGACACTATGGCAGACGGGACACTATGGCAGACGGGAGACTATGGCAGGAGAGACACTATGGTAGACGAGACACTACGGCAGATGGGACACTATGGCAGACGAGACACTATGGCAGACGGGAGACTATGGCAGATGGGAGACTATGGCAGACGGGAGACTATGGCAGACGGGAGACTATGGCAGACGGGACACTATGGCAGATGGGAGACTGTGGCAGACGGGAGACTATGGCAGACGGGACACTATGGCAGACGGGAGACTATGGCAGACGGGAGACTATGGCAGACGGGAGACTATGGCAGACGGGAGACTATGGCAGACGGGAGACTATGGCAGATGGGACACTATGGCAGACGGGAGACTATGGCAGACGGGAGACTATGGCAGACGGGAGACTATGGCAGACGGGAGACTATGGCAGACGGGAGACTATGGCAGATGGGAGACTATGGCAGACGGGAGACTATGGCAGATGGGACACTATGGCAGACGGGAGACTCTGGCAGATGGGACACTATGGCAGACGGGAGACTATGGCAGACGGGAGACTATGGCAGACGGGAGACTATGGCAGATGGGACACTATGGCAGATGGGAGACTATGGCAGACGGGAGACTATGGCAGACGGGAGACTATGGCAGATGGGACACTATGGCAGATGGGAGACTATGGCAGACGGGAGACTATGGCAGACGGGAGACTATGGCAGACGGGAGACTATGGCAGACGGGAGACTATGGCAGATGGGAGACTATGGCAGACGGGAGACTATGGCAGACGGGAGACTATGGCAGATGGGACACTATGGCAGACGGGAGACTCTGGCAGATGGGACACTATGGCAGACGGGAGACTCTGGCAGATGGGACACTATGGCAGACGGGAGACTATGGCAGATGGGACACTATGGCAGACGGGAGACTATGGCAGATGGGAGACTATGGCAGACGGGAGACTATGGCAGACGGGAGACTATGGCAGACGGGAGACTATGGCAGATGGGACACTATGGCAGATGGGAGACTATGGCAGACGGGAGACTATGGCAGACGGGAGACTCTGGCAGATGGGACACTATGGCAGATGGGAGACTATGGCAGACGGGAGACTATGGCAGACGGGAGACTATGGCAGACGGGAGACTATGGCAGATGGGAGACTATGGCAGACGGGAGACTATGGCAGACGGGACACTATGGCAGACGAGAGACTCTGGCAGATGGGACACTATGGCAGACGGGAGACTATGGCAGACGGGAGACTATGGCAGACGGGAGACTATGGCAGACGGGAGACTATGGCAGACGGGAGACTATGGCAGATGGGAGACTATGGCAGACGGGAGACTATGGCAGATGGGACACTATGGCAGACGAGAGACTCTGGCAGATGGGACACTATGGCAGACGGGAGACTATGGCAGATGGGAGACTATGGCAGACGGGAGACTATGGCAGACGGGAGACTATGGCAGACGGGAGACTATGGCAGACGGGAGACTATGGCAGACGGGAGACTATGGCAGATGGGACACTATGGCAGACGGGAGACTCTGGCAGATGGGACACTATGGCAGACGGGAGACTATAGCAGACGGGAGACTATGGCAGACGGGAGACTATGGCAGATGGGAGACTATGGCAGACGGGAGACTATGGCAGATGGGACACTATGGCAGACGGGAGACTATGGCAGACGGGAGACTATGGCAGACGGGAGACTATGGCAGATGGGAGACTATGGCAGACGGGAGACTCTGGCAGATGGGACACTATGGCAGACGGGAGAATATGGCATGAGGATGGAAGACAGACAGACTTAAGCTATACGAGCAAACAACCGTTTTTGCACCTCAGGTCTTGATGGCTCTTCCTGTATCATCAACTCTCTACACATTCTTCCTTCCACATTTTTTGTTTACTCTTATCCTTCTTATCAATATCGTTCTTGGTATCTATCTTTTGTCATTCTTTTTGACATATATTTATTTTTCCTTGTTATATCTCTCTACCTCTCTTCCTCCCTCTTCTTCCTTTCCCTCTCTCTATATCTCTGTCTCTCCCTCTGACCCCCCCCCCACTCTCTCTGACCCGTCTCCTATCTACAAGTATTATAATTGCTTCCTCATTATTTTATTTAAGACATGACATGCCTAGCCAAATCATGATAATTATTGTCACCATAATTATATTCTTCTCACACTATAGACCTCCACCACCAAGGCCACCACTTAATTATACCACAGTTACTCGCTTGATTTTCCCGCCAAAAAGCCCCGAAATCATCTCAAGATAACCT